CTAGTTATTCTATATCTTAAATGTAGATTTAGTAGATTAACACAGAAGAGTGTGAGAGAGAAGAGAATAGCCATACTTACACAATCTCTCATTGGAGTAACTTTTAGCCAATGAAATAATAGTATAACTAAAACATTCCCCATTTTTAGGTATATAAAGTAAGTGATGAATCAGCACAAGACAGTTATGAGTGAACTAATTTCAGTCAGGACAAGAATAGTGTACGGGCTACATGCCAGGGTACACATTACCCTGTAACACCTTACCCTGGCTAACCCGGCCTCTTTAGCATCCTCATGTTAATACTGAGCGCTGGCAGCACAGGCTGTAAACCTCGCTCCAGAGAATCTTGTCCAAACCTCGTCTGGGTCACACAGGAAGTATTAATCCCCCGCACCCTGGAAGAAAGCGATCCTGTTCCACTCTATCTAGGCCAGGGGCGCCCCAACCTTTTTTCTTAAAGAGACCCGTTTTCTATCAATGTGTAAACTGATTAAGTGACATATTTTATGGATATTTACAATGAACCCAAATAGTGAACGCAATAACTGCAGGAAGTTTGTGTAAAACGAGCAGTTTGAATGATTATTTCCTGTGAATTTTGCGTCAGAGATGAGTTTTCCTGATTTTTTTTATTATAAACTTTTAAAAAATTCTCTGTCTGTATAATGTTCTTTTTGTATTTTTAATAACTACATATACTTCATTGGCTTTTTTGACATTCAGTTTTTCTTCACATTGTTCTATTAACTTGACAGACAAGGCTGTTTGACAGAGTAAAAGCTCTGTGAATATAGCTTGTGCTCACGTCTTCACTATGCTCTTATTCTGTTAATATCTTAAATAATAATCTAATCTTTAAAAATAACCATTTCTGAGACATAGGCCTACTGAATATAAAACCAAGTAGTCCTTGCGGCCCCGAGAAGCTCTGCCAAGGTTGGGAATCACTGATCGCTGTACATGCAGGACACATATTGTGTGTGTGTTTCAGAAACAATGTGTTTTCTCACAATCCTGTTGGGGGTTCCTGGGCAGAGTGAGTTCACAGATGGCGTCACAGCAACAGCTGCTCAGACAGCTGAGGTGGGCTCATGTGGTGTTCCTCTGACAGAGATCACATTGTCTGGACACAAGTCTGAAGTACAATGGAGTAATTACACAAAAGGCATACTGGGTGAGAGAAAAACATCAGATCCTTTAAGTGTTCAAACTCAAAGTTTCTACCGAGCCGTCTAAATCCAGCCAGTGAGCCAGAGAGGACTTCATAACTAATGCAGTGACAGATGAGAGGAGGATCAACACACTCCAAATATGACCTGGAAAAACTGCAGGCATCCTGAATCACATGTTTTTACACACAGTGTCAGTAATCTCTCGCCCCCCACGCGAACATCACCCTATAATTTGTTTCACTGATGTGTGCAGCCCATTTATCGGTGTCACCCTCTCTCTCTCTCCCTGTCTGTCGTTGGGTGTGACTGAGGTGAAAAAAAGCTGGCTCAGTAGACGTGAAACATCAGAGATTCTGACTGGCGAGAAATGACAGATGTTGTTGCCAGATGTGCAGAGAGGTTGGAAGTTATATGAGGCTGCAGACAGTAAATACAAACATCTCTCTCAAGAAAACCGTCACACCCACGTTAACGACCTCTTCCTCCTCTACTCTTCAGCGCTTACACATATACACATACAAAGCACACACTTATTTAATCACTTTCACATCCATGCATAATGAACACTCACATACACAGGAAGCATTTGCACAGTTATGGGGGCAGCTGTGACCCAGGAGACGGAGTGGGTCACCGGCTCCTCCTGTACTAAAGTACCCTTGAGCAAGAAACTGGATTTCAAATTGCTCTCTTTGCTGCCATCTGTGTGTGAATACTATAAGTGCAGTCCAGTTACCATACATGTACAAAGCACCCATGGACATCCAAGCAAAACAACTCTGTATACATACTGAGACACATACTTACATATAAAGTGTGTATACACACAAATGGAGAATTTGTCCTTCACTTTTGGACAGTGTTGGGCTAGTTACTCAAAAAATGTTTATTATTTTATAACTTTACTTATTACTCCCTGCCAACAGTAATTAGTTACACTTCTAATTATATTTCTTTTCAGAATGAATGAATGTAAAGTATAATTAAATGTATATTTGTTCCTATAAAAACAATTTATGTGTGGTATGACATTGTACACAGAATAACAACATCATACCTAAATAGAAAAAAAAATTGTCTCACTTTTTAAAATATTGAATTTGGGATGTGGTATCACAGAGACTGTAGCTGTGACAACCAACCATCACATTCACAATGTAGTTGTCCTGAGAGAGTTCATTATTTGGGGTTTGATAAGCCTTATCTTACAGAGGCAGATCTAGGGAGGTGGCTAAAAAATGTCTGGCCACCCCAGTTTGGTGTCAAATGCTGTGAAATTTAACACATTAATTTAGATTAAGTTTAAAAATAATGTGTTCAAAAAATGGAAATTATTTAATGATCTGTTATGGCCACATGTTAGACTGAGTGATTGGCTCAAATTCAATGAAATGAGACTTGTATTTGGAAGAATGTCTGAAGATAAAACATTGTATTGCTAATGCCACCTTTAAATATTTCTTTTCTATGCTTCACTAATGTGCCACTATATGTTTTTTTGTTGTTAAAATATCTTAATTTCAGGGCAAGCAACTATTGATATATGTGATCGTTTTCAGTTAAATCAGCATATATTTCTGCCTCCCCCTTAAAGTCTCCATGCCACCATTAATATTTCTTTAGATCCGCCCCTGCTAATTATAAAAAGCTGGATTCAGCCAAGAATCAAAAGCCAATTGAGGTTTTTTTTTTTATGTTTGCACTTAATAGTTGCTTTCATTGTATATTATATATATATATATTCAAATACAAGAAATGTTCCTTGGTAAGTTGGTGTATAACAATTAAACATAGAACATTATAAACAAAGATAAAAATAGAGACAATATGTACAATATGGCCAAATACTTAAATAAATGAAGAGTTGTACAGGAATAGTTCTTCTTCCTGGAATATAAAAGCATATACTCTTTTAAAAAGTGAATGAATCTTACATAGATATATTATTTTACTATTTCGGGAATCTTTTTGGTTGTTTACAGTATATTTATTGTTTTGGTGTTGTGTGTTTGTTTTTGTTTACATTGTTGGCTACTTTGTTAATTGTTTTTTAAGAATCATTTCACTGTCAATACCTAGCTTTTTATCCTGTTTGATTTTAAATTCTGGATTGTTATTGTTTTTGTTTGGACCCCAGGTGGACTAGCAACCACTTTATGGACGCTTATAAACCTAGACATAATATGATTTGAGTTTCCACCTTGTAAAAAAGCAATATAAAAAGCATATAAGAAATGTGAATAGCTATGTGATTTTAAATGTGTTGATTGTTTTTATATTGTTATTCGTGTTCTGTGTGTCCTAAAATAACCTTTTTTTTGTCTTTTAGATATAGATTTACTTTAATTGATCCCTAGGGTAAATTTGTTTTTTCTCACTTTTTAAATTCACACACACAGGTTGAAATGCACAGCTTCATGCACATATGTGGTTAACATGCCAACAGGGGAAGAGATGTTTGGAGTGATGGTTGCCTATCAGTTACCCCAGCGCCCCATACTAGTTTGGGGTAGGTTGCTTGTGCTCAAGGCCTCTCAGCAGATGCACCGGAGTGTGGAACTGGCACCTCTCAGTCTACCTGTCCAGCACTCCCGATTATATATTATTGTGGGCTGGTGGAGCTTGAACCGGGCGACCCTCCGGTCGCCAAGCAAAGTCCTAGCACAGCTGAATCTTACTGGAAGCTAATTGGGATTCAGAATAGAATCAGAATTTTGTTTATTGCCAAGTAGGTTTTTACGCTACGAGGATATAGTAGACCTGATGCAGTTGGTGCATATAAATATCTACATACACAAATAAAATATACAAATATACAATTAATTCACAATCACACCAAAAATCACACCAGAAAATAAAGTACTTTCAAGATATAAATAGATAAAGATAAGAAAGATAAGAAGAGAAAGCTGTGGGCAGAAGAACGTGGGTGTATTAATGTAATGCATACTTTAATAATACAGGGTGGTATAAGAGTCAGTGACAGTGGGGCCTTGTTAAAGGAGGCAGCTGCAGACAGGAAGAAACCTGTTTTTATGGCTAAGAGGTTTTAGAGAGGAAGTCCTGATGGTCCGCAGGCCCTCCTGGCCAGAGGGAAGTATCTC